CAGCTAGTATTTCCGCCCTCATAATGTCCCCCACTCCCACCGGTCTTGAGAATAAGGAGATGATGTTGTTGTCATTGTTCCTTAGGACACCCCCAATACCTGATGGCCCAAGGTTACCTTGGCTGCTTCCATCAAAATTTAACTTGATAATACCTTCTAACGGCGGATCCCATTCTGATAATCTTTTGTTCTTCTTTGTAGAAGTATTAGCTATTACTAACCAATTCCTCCACAAATCATCAAAAGAGAAACCATCGAATATCTCCAAGGTTTCCAGCCAATGTATTGCTCTTGTTAGAAGACAGTCCTTCACTTCTTCTAATCTTCTTTCCTTCTCTAAGAAAACTCTTGCATTCCTTTCCTCCCATAGTGTCCATAAGGTTGCTACCTTGACTCATTTGCACATGAACTTGCCTCTTCTAGTGTGCCAAACAAAAAGAAGGGTTAAATAACATACTTAAATCAATTGGCGGAGACCACCTCCCTCCAAATAAACTAAGGCTCCAACTCCATAAGTCTGTAGCAAAGGAGCAGGAAATCAGCAAATGGAAACAGTCCTCATTCTGGGCCATGCACAAGAAACACCAATTCGGGGAGAGACATAGAGAGGGTCTCTTTTTTTGCAAGCTTTCCAAGGTATTGATTTTCCCATAGTGGACTTCCCAACAAAATACAGCAATTTTTGCAGGGATAGGTCGGGCCCAAATCTCTTTGAAGGGGAACCCTTGGGAGATGGGGTTGGAACTAAGAGATTTTTTAAAAGAAGAGCAAGTGAAAACACCTTTAGGAAGGGGAATCCAAACTCTTTGATCAGAAGAAGTGGGGTCCAAACAAACAGCCTCTAGTAAATGAAGAAGCTCAGTGATCAAATCAACTCACCATCCCTCAAACCCCTACGAAAACCGAAATCCCAGTTTAAAGACAGGGGACTCAACGGGTTCGGAAGAAAATTTGCAATCTTCCCATTTTTGTGAAGGGAAAGGAAATAAAGCGATGGGAATCGATCTTTGAGGGGTTGAATACCCACCTAAACATCCTCCCAGAACCTAATAACATCACCAGAGCAAGCATCATACTTGATAAAACTGAGGAAGCAAGGAAGAATGCCATGTATAGCTTTCCAAGGTGTTGTGAGGGTAGCTCGACAAGATATCCCGACATCCCAACCATTTCCTGAGCAGCCATAAATACTCAACACCACCTCATGCCATAATCTCTCTCTCTCTCTCTCGGGACCATCTCCATAACCACTTCCCTAGGAGGGCTACATTCTTCAACACTATATTCCCTATCCCTAGACCCCCTTCTTCCTTAGGTTTATTAACTATCTCCCATCTAACCAGATGATCCTTCTTCACCTCCCTTGGTTCCCACAGAAAGTCCCTCGTTATCTTCTCCAATTTCTTAGCCTCCCTTGGTGGAATCCTGAACACTGATAGGTAGTAGGTTGGAAGGTTGGAAAGTGTAGCCCTAATCAAGGTCACCCTACCCCCTATTGAGATGTAATTGATCCGATTTCTTACTCAATTCCTAAGCCCACTTTGGCTTCCCATGGAAGTCCCAACATGTATCCCTGATATCTCTAGCCTTCTGACAATGAGTACACCATAACTTATCCTTATCATCAACTTTCTTCTAGAAATCACCCTTCTTAAAAGAATTGCTGCCTCCTACACCCACACTCCCTTTTGCTAATAAGGCAACTTGCTCCCCCTTTGAGTCATTCATCACATTCCGCCTGCTCTCTTCGGATTGTACTAGGGCATACACTTCTTGTACTGAAGGAAGATCTTAAATTCCTAATATCTGAACTCTAAGAGACTTATATATTGGGTTCAGCCCCAAGAGGAAAGCAAAGACTCATTACTAGGAAACCAGAGACTTGTAGGCCCTAGAATCAGCATCACACTTCCAGTCTATGTTCTGATAGTGGTCCAGTTCTTTCCATATCGAGGTCAAATCTGAGTAATATGATGAGACACCTTTCCCCCTGCTTACAAGTAGAGGAGGCAGCTTGCAACTGGTATATTTTGGCATAGTGACGTTGCTCTACACAAGTAGATTTTGTCTACTCCCAAATCTCAACAGCTGTTTCAGCCCACATGAATGCCTTCCTGACCGGAGGCAGCATGGAAAGTAGCAGCCATGACATCACCATGTTGTTTTCCCGATCCCATCTATCATGCTCTGCACCCTGAGACTTCGGTTCATTGGTTTTACCATTAATAAAGCCCACCTTCCCCCTGGCAGTTATGTACAGTTTAATTCCCCTTAACCATTCTAGGTAATTGAAACCATCAAACGGTATTACAGCCATGGGGAAGATCATATCAAATCCTTCACTCACTCCACCTTGATTGGAAGGCCCACTAGACACACTAGAATCCTCAGATGACATGATATAAAGTCTGATTTGGCAGTTCAGTTCAGTTCAGACACAATTCAGCGACAGTTCAGCCGAGTTCAGTTCACAGTTACATGGGAAGCCCAGTCTAGTTCAGTCAAATAATAGATCTTAGGAACACCACACACATATAAGGTGGCAATTCAGGAACACAGCCCTTATATATAACCCTTCATCAACTACTTGAGCACACAGACTATAATTCCCCAAGAGACATTACCAAACCACTGTCACACAATCTCAGGTCATTCAGACCTACACCACCCAGTTGTCTGGTACAAGAAATAGGATCACCCGATCCACAATTCCAAAAAAAAAAAAAAGTGGTTGCAGGTTATCCAGACCTCTAAAACCCACTTACCTGGGTAAAAGAAAGTATCACACGATCCATAGAATTAAGAAGACTTGCCTTCACAGCATCAGAGTTCCCTTCTTTTAGGGTTTTCTTGGCACACGACCAAGAAAGAAAGGAAGAGAACCTAAAAGAAAGCCCTTCAGATCAGTTCGACCCACTCCCTAATCAGATTCGATCAACAGTAGAGGAGGAACTGAGAGATTGAGGAAGAAGAAACTGAGAAGACTTTGTCACACTGCTTCTAACCCCAGAAAACCTGCTCTGATACCATGTTCTCTGGGTTGAACATATCAGAGAAACAGAAAAGAAAGAGAGAAGAAAGGAAGAGAGAGAAGAGAAGAGAGACGAAGAGAACTCTGGGATCAAAAAAGTTGTCATTAGTATTTATATTAGGGTGTCCCAACTAATAATAAAAGAAAGTAAGATTACAAGAATGCCCCTGCAGCACTGAAGAACAGAAAAATAACAAAGAATTAATTAATTAGTTAAGGAAACTAACTAACAGATTTCAACACTATCTTGGTCGGGATATGGAAGGTGAACAGAAAGTAAATAGGTAGATTTGCTAATGTAGCTCTAATTAGGGTGATTCTTCCTCCTAAAGGAATATAATTTCTTTTCCAAAGGGCTAGCTTCTTTGCAAACCTCTCAAGCACCGACTTCCAAAATCCATCAAACCTCGGGTTTCTAACTTTTCTTTTCTTTCTTCTCTTCTTCACATGAATATGTTGATTTTCTATATTTTAAAACTAAGCTTTGGCAACTACTAGTGAAAGATGACCCCTATGGAACCTAGGGAATTACCCTAGGATGCAGGGTTTTGCTAAAGAAAAATATCATCTATGCAATGCCCAGATACAACCTGTCACCTAGCCTCATCTTAGCAATTAGAAAACCATGCTTGTTATTCAGATCAATACTATTGTTTTTCTGCTGAGACATCAATAAAGAATTTTATTTCTGTTTTTACCACAACTGACAGTTATAGTAGAATTTCTTCTTGCTTCTTCTATCTTTCTTCCTTGTGCCTGGTAACACTTGTATCTGAAACTTACTGGCTACGGCTGCTTTGAAGGATTTTTCTGCTTTATACGCATCTGACTAATCAGTTGCCATCTCCTATTTTATGCATGATGTTTCTTCTTATCAAAATTTGTATGGTTGTATGCCTGACTATTCCAGACTGCATGTGTGTGCATGATGCCTAGAATGCTTGTTTTAGGCAAAAGTTAGGGAACAAGTGCTTCCTATTTCTAAAAAGAGTACAAAATATAGGCCTAGCCAATTAGCATTGAAACCATAAAAAGAGGCTAAAATTTATGTAACATGACAATGAAATTGCTAAAGAAAATGTCTTTCAGGTCTACACTCCTATACATGCGCTATTGAGACTCCATTAACACCTATCAAGATCCATCAGACTCCAATTTAGCTCAAGAAGAGGGATGAAATCCATTTATTCGTCCTCCATATCGATCTTTAAAGTCTGCTAAGTGTGAACCCTAGTTTTTCTTTCCAGAGCAAAAGGTAAAGAATCCTAATTTCACAATTCATTTTCTCTCAACCCATTTGATGAGCATAACCCATTAATTCTAGCAGTACCCTTTAAAACCTTCACTTTCCAAGCCTACTCAAGACCATAGCAACTGTAATTAAACTTCAAATAATTCTGTTGACAAAATAAATAAATAAAACAAGAGGACCATATCTAGACCATCCCCCCAAAGACTCCAGATCACTATGACGATTACTGGATGATAGCCTTGGGCCTTTCCATGTTTAACTGCTGTCAAGAGAATCCATTGCACTAAATTGGATCACCATTTAGTGTCTACTGCTTAAACCGTAACAATAGTCCTGCACAATCTAATCTACAAGATTCTTTAATCACCTAGTTTATCCTACATCCAATGAATTTGAACCCCTTTTCCATCTTGGCAATGTCTAAACTGTATCAATGAACTAACACATATTCAGGAATCTCACCAGAGGATACCTTGTAATTTCATAACAAGTGTACTTCATATCTGAATTCTCAACAAAGTGAACAAACAAACAAAGCAATCATGGGTATTTTGGTAAAGAATGAGCAAGTGGCAGAGAGAGACAGAGATAAGAATTTTTTGGTGAAGGCAAGGAAATATTTTTTGACAAGCAGGAAGTTAGGGAAACAATAACAATACAAAAGAAAATTCATTGACTAAAATAAATAAAAGGAAATATGGATAGGCACAAATTTACCTGCTCATCAATCATTATGATACAAATGCCACGTTCATCTTTTCCACGACGACCAGCTCTTCCACTCATCTATCATATTGAAAGCATTCCTTAATAAGAAGGATAGAATAAATCCACCAAGAATGCCACAATGAATGCAATCGATGAAATATCCACTTACCTGGATGTACTCACCAGATCCAATATAGCGATGACTATCACCATCCCATTTCTTAACAGATGTGAAAACAACAGTTTTGGCAGGCATGTTTAAACCCATGGCAAACTGTCACAGAAAGCCAGGCAAACAGTTAGCAATTCAACATAAAATATGAAATGCATTAGAAACTAGACATGGTAAAAGAAAAACCGCCATGGAAAAGAAACTGCATAGGTTCCTGATAATCATCTTACTGTTTCTGTAGCAAAAAGAGCCTTCACAAGGCCTTCTTGGAAGAGAAGTTCCACCAATTCCTTAATTATTGGAAGAAGTCCAGAATGATGAACAGCAATGCCTCGTTGAAGTAGCGGTAACATTAACTCAATAGCAGGTAGGTTTCTGTCTTCCTCATTCAAGCAAAGCACTGCATTTCGGAAAACCTGTTCAACATCATCTTTTTCCTCTTTGGTGTTAAAATCAAGTTTGGACATGGACATTGCATGTTGTTCACACTCTCTTCTACTGAAGCTGAAAATGATAACCGGTTGAAATTTTCGCTCCATAATCATCTGAAGTACAAGAGAATCCCAACAGACACCATCTAAGAAATAGTGTGTAATTATTATGCAAAATAACCTGGGTGATAATGACACCATGATAATAAGAAAACCCTAACCAGGATAAATTGCTAGTTGACTGATAAAAAGAAACTATCAGTTTAAAACACTAACAGATCCCTAGGTCAAACCAGAAAGAGAGATTGAATGAAGTGCCTCTATAAGAATTTAATGGTTACTATATCTAACAGAAAGACTGTCATAGAGTAAAGATGGAAAAAGGAAATTTTTTTGGATCAATAACAGGTAACTTCAATAAAATAAGATTCAAACATATATAAAGCAGCTAGCCTTGGCTAGCCATTACAACATCGAACTTAATTAATCATTTCCCAATTACAAGGTGTGTGGTTTTATTGGGATCTTTTAAGGGACTTCTTAGAATGTTTCTTGCTTCTGGTGATATCTTATCACCTCCTTTTGTACTTTTATCTTTTTTTAATGAATTTTTATTTGATTCTTCAAAAAAATAAAATTAATCATTCCCCAAAACATATCAGATCTGTTTTCCCCTAACTTAGCTAACCATCAGCAGCCACAGAGTTCACAGACCTTGGAGTACAAGAAAACCTAATATTTATTTCAGCCAAGCCATCTCTCTTAATGCATATCTGAATTTCCAATATACCCCTTTCAGCATTCTTCAGCCATCCTATGACCACCTTCAGATCCTCTACCAAGATATTGCTGAGGTTGAATGATTTAACCACTTTCAGACCCTGCAGAATGGCATTCACTTCTGCTGTGGTCAAATTTTCAAAGCCTAAAGGACTTGAGTATTGCCATAAGCATCCCAAAAAGCTCCCTGATACCTGAGGGTCCTAGTTTGTCCAAGCTGCATCCATCAACTTTTTTCCTTTTATTTGCTTGTTAACTTAACATTTTATTAAGATGAGAGAATTGAGGTTACAAATAATCAGGTCCTGCATCCATCAACATATAACTTGGTTGAGTTGTCTTGGGTTGGGTCCCATTCCACATTAACAATAACTTTCTTGAGGAAGAGACTACAACCTGTTCCCAATAACCATTTAAACAAATCTAATGTCTTCACTTCACCCAATAGATGGTCTTTTTTTTGAAAGGTAAGGTAAAAATTATTAATAATAGAAGAAAAGATACAACAGAATCCTAGCCAGAGGAGGATTGTCCAAGGAACAACTCAGATTACAGACTCCAAAGGGACTAGGACCTGAGCAACAGAGGCACATTCAGGTGCTTGAATTCAGAATTTACAGACACCCAAGAAATCAGCTTGCTAACCACTCACAGCACTAACTCAACTGGGCTTTTCATTTTGTTACAAAAGATTCCATTCTTTCTTTCAGACCAAAGGACAGCTGTAGGAATGGTTTTCCACACCAACTTTCCTTTTTCTTCAAACCCCCGATCTTCCAGCAGCACAGCAGGTCTTTGACAGAGCTCGGCATAACCCAGCAGTTCCCAAGTCCCAACAGATTTAAGGAAGTGCTCCCACACCTGAGAAGAAACTGGGCAGTGAATAGTTAGGTAATCTGTAGACTCGGGCGCAGAAGACCACAAAGGCCACAAGATACATCCGGGAGCTGTAATCCTCTTCTTTCCAAATTGATTCTAGATAGGCACTTGTTTAAAACCATAGTCCAGACTAGAAAATTAGACTTGGAAGGACTGATTGGATTCCAAATCTGCTTGCTAGGAAAACCAGAAGAGTCTGAACTGCTGAGCTTGAAAACCAAGGATTTGACTGAGAAGCAACCATCACCACTCCATTTCCAGCTCCATTCATCCTCCAAATCGACACCTATACCCTGTCCCTGTAACAGTTCCCGCAGCTCCAAAATCTCACCCATCTCCCAATCACACAAGTTTCTTCTAAATTGAGGGACCCATGTCACAGAATTATCAGAGTGAGCATAGGATTCAGCCACCGAGACATCATGATTAGCAGCACACTGAAAAAGGAGAGGTAAGGCCTCAGCCAAGGGACTATCCATACACCATGGGTCCTTCCAAAACCTCAGTCTATCACCTCTGCCCACCTTAAAGCTTAAACCTTCCGAGATAACAGGAAAAATCTTCTTAATGCCCTTCCAAATAGAGCAGCCCCAAATTGGATGAGGGTCTTGAGATCTCCAATTATCCCAATCCACCCCATACTTAGCAGCTATTAGGTTCCTCCACCATGAATTTCTTTCTGAGGCAAATCTCCAGATCCATGTGCTGAGAAGGACAGAATTAAATACCTTTAACTTCCTTATTCCCAGACCACCTCCCTCCATGGGGAGGCACACTTGATCCCAATTAACAAGATGAATTTTCTTTTCTTCTTCCCAACCTTTCCAGAGAAAACTCCTATGTAAGTTCTCCAACCTTTTTGCTGTTTTAACTGGGATAAGGTAAAGAGAGAAGAAATAAGTGGGAAGATTAGGGTGTACTTTTTATAAGGGTCACTCTGCCCCCACCTGAGAGGTATTTATCCTTCCAAGAGGACAGCTTTTTCTCCATCCTCTCAATAACTAGATCCCTAATAGCAGTAGAAGAACACTTTGCCCCAAGGGGAAGCCCCAAATATTTCACAGGAAGGAATTCCACCTAGCAAGCCATCACCCTAGCACACTCCTCCAAATTAGGCACCTCACCCACCAGAATAAACAGACTTTTATTCAGATTTACTTTAAGACCTGAGAAAACTTCAAACCAGCAAAGAATCCCAAACAAGATCTCCAACTGGTTTGGAGAGGCATCCAAGAAGCAAACGGAACAAATTGGAGGGTGTTGGCTTTCTCCTCCCCTGGGAAGTTGCAAAGCCTTCCCAAATGCCCTCCCCAGCAGTCCTCTTGCTGAACAAAGAAAGTAATTCCAATGGCACACAGAAAAAGCAGGGGAGAGAGAGAGGGTTTCTCTGTCTTAATCCTCTAGAGCTTTCAAAGAAACCTGCGGATTGTCCATTTATCAGAACAGAAATTTTGGGGGAAGAAATGCAAATTTTGATCCAGTTCCTCAATTTCTATCCAGAGTTCATTCTCTCAAGCACAAAATCCAGGCACTTCCAGTTTACATGATCATAAGCTTTTTCAATATCCAACTTGCAAACCAGACCAGAAATCCCCTCCCTCCTCCTAGAGTCAATGAGCTCGTTTGCAATGAGAACAGAGTCTAGTATTTGCCTACCTGGTACAAAGGCACATTGGTTATTGGAGATCACACTATTCAAAACCCCTTTCAACCTTTCAGCCAACACTTTGGCCAAGATTTTGTAAAAACCATTCAGAAGACTTGTAGATCTAAAGTCTTTTAAGTTCACAGCCCCTTCAACTTTCGGGATAAGGGTGATAAAGGTGGCATTCAAACTTCTTTGCAAGGGAGCATTTGTATGGAAAGCATGAAGACATTTATCAAGTCATGTTTTACAAAATCCCAGCACTTGACATAAAAGAGATTAGATAAGCCATCCAGCCCTGGGGATTTCTCACCTTCCATCTTGCTGATTGCTTCCTTGATTTCCTCCTCCGTAAAAGGTCTCTCAAGATACAACTTCTGTTCTTCACTTAGCTGCTTGAAAGGAAAGTCCAAGGGAAGGGGTCTAATAGCCCAGTTTTCCTTGTATAGGGTTTTATAGAAAGTAGTGGCAATCAGTTTGATTTCAGCAGCTGAATCCCCCACTCTTTCTTCACATTCCAGCTTACTAATTGAAGAAGCTCTGTTCCAGGCATTGGTCATTTTATGGAAAAAAATGTGTTTCTATCCCCCACCCTCAACCAAGTGGTCTTAGCTCTCTGTCTCCATCTTATCTCATCTTTGACTGCCAACTTCTCATACATGGTTTTTCCCTTAATTCTTTTGAGCCTCAAGTCCTCAGAGATTGGGCCTAGTTCTTCAGCTCTATCAGTATCTTCTATTATACTTAGACAGGCTCTCTGTCTCACTTTTATACTTTCGATAATTACCTCCATCTCCCTCTGTTTACCATTTATGTCACTATCATTTCTTTCCAACCATATGCCCCACAAGTAGCAGCCTGAAAATATATCTATAATATTCTTCCTCTCTTCTTGTGGGCCTCAAAGAAGCTTGGCCTAAAGAGGTTATCCAAATCAGAGAGAGGAGACCGGCAGCCAAACAAAGAGAATATACAATTCCAAATATCAGATGCATATTTACAGGAGATTAGCAAGTGACAAGGCACATGAAGTGAGAGGCAGCACCAAGATCTCCTCATTTGAATCAAATAACAGGTATTGATTTTGTCATGGAAGACCTCCCGAACGAAAGCTCTAGTCTTAAGGGGTACAGGACCTAGCCAAAGAGAGTTGTCAATACTGCCCAAGGAAGACATAGTGCAGGATAAAGCACTGAGGAAAGACACATGTAAAGAGGCCCAAGGAATTGAGAGTCTAAATTCTACAGTTAGATCAAGATAAAATCAATTGCCATGGAGACTTCAGAAAATTCATAGTTCCTCGACCCTCTCTTGAACCCTAAATCCCAAGAACAGCCATGATTGGAGATGGAGCAATACAAGAAGATTGTTTCATCTTTGTAAGTGGAAATGGAAAAAAGTAAAGGGAACTTCTCCACAATGTTCAAAATTTTGTACATATCAGCCAATACATATCATTCCAATAAAGGTCCAATACATGGAATGCAAAGAAGCAATTATTCCATTTCTTTTCATCTGTATCAGGCAATACAGGCTCATATCAGATTTTTGGTTCTCTATTTGCCAATATAGACCCAATAATGTATCGACCAATACATTACGAATTAATAACTCCCCGTTCTTTTATTGCTAATCTTTCTAATTAACTACTCTCCTTATTAATACTCTAATTACTTCCTTTCTCTCATTAATCTTTCTTTTACTGCTAATCCTTCTAATTAATTACTCTCCCTCTTTCTCATTAATTACTTTAATTAATCCATCTCGGCATCTCCCTCATTAATCTTTCTTTTATTGATAATCCTTCTGA